ACCGCTAACTTTTACCAAAGTGAAATGCAGTATTCCAGCAACATTGGTGGAAACATTCTCTCGGGTTCCTAGGTGTATGAAGGCCCAAGCATACATGATGACATTTGGACCTCAAACCAATCATGCCATTASTTATCATCATTGCTGCATTTCAACAACAAAAGAGGACAGATTACTGGCCAAGAAAACCACACAGCTAATTCCCCAGCAGAGCTCTSGCTTTCAGAAATATCCAGCAACAGGGAGTCCCTGGAAACCAGACCTACKAGATGTGGTGGCTGGATCAATCAATACACAGTCAGGAATGGAAGACTTCTCTGAAACGCTAGGAAACATCAGGATAAGATGGGTCAAGGCACTGAAAAGCACTTGCTAAAGCCTCTCCGCAGGCATCCGTGTGTGTATGAAGCATGGATAGTGTGCTCGCTTTGCAAGGAAATTTAGCCAAGTTGCTCAGAAACAGAAARAATAAAATGGAACAAACTCGTGTCTGTGGGCAACTCTTCTCTATCACAGATTAAATTCAGCCTGTTCTCAGAATGAGTCAAATGCTCTTCAAACAAAATAACATCTTCACATAAACATTTTCATTCATTTAAATATCTCAGTCTTTTCTTCTATGGAAGGGAAAGGTGTGTGCCAGGTTATTAAGCTTCAACCAGAGCATCATACTTCCTTTGCATCTCTGTAGGCATGAATTTCAATTTGCTATCAGTAGCCAAGAGACAACAATCCTAAAACGAGCCATCTCTGATTTATGAGAGCTGGTACTGGAAAAGTTAACACTGGGACAGTGTTAACTGTCCCACCCAGAGTCAGTGTGCAYGGGAAGATGAAGACTCTCATAGCTCTTCTTTCTTATTGTCTGGCAAGCCTCAAGATGAGGGTATCTCCACACAAAGACTTGCAAAGTTCACTAGGGTGGTCACACTTGTACGGGAAATGGAAGATGTAAGGTTATGACTTCCATTCTGCCTCCCTCTTTAATAGATCTGTTACAGAAGTAGGAAGGTTGTGCAGCTTCTTCTCTTTCCTCTCAGCACTGCAGTAGCAGCTTTGCCCTGCTCTATCACAGTATTTCAGAGAGGCAGCATCATATTAGAGAGTGGGAATGGTTGCTTCCTCTTGGATATGAGGGACCAGAGCTGAAGGTTAATGCTAGATACATGCAATCCTCTCAGCAGAGAAGCACAGAGATGCTTCAGCCTTCACTGCAGAAGAAACAGCATGTCCTTCCTGAGATAAGGACATCTAAGCTACTTCTGTGACATCTTAATGGCAATGGGACTACCTTGTGGCCTTTATCTGACGATGGAAAGACAAAGTCAAATACACTTCACTCACCTCTCTCCTGGTAAAAATGGCACTGAGCAGTGCATTATATACAGCTTTATATTATCAGCTCTTTGCACACTGTAGTCATTGAAGATGGATAGAAGAGAAAGGTGTTTACTTGGATGTTTACTTACAAGTTTTGCTTTCACACTTTCCTCTGTATGTATTTTGTCATATAATAGAGTTGATTAAATTTGACTGTACACTCCTTCACAAGGCTTTAAATCAGCCATTTTAAACACACACTAAAAGGCATCTACCTTGTCTTGATTAGACTTTAAGAAAGACTAATTAGATAGTTGACAAGATCCTTATATTGAAACCTCAAAATTGACAAAGTATTTTGTAAAAAACTGGCAGCCAGAGCTCAGTCAGGACTACAGAATTGGAATCAAATCAGTAAAGCTTAAATGAAAGATTTGAGGCCTATCCAGAGGAAAATCAAGATCTTTTTYTTTTAATTTGTAAAATAAAATCTTTTCATTAATGGACATTCTGAAATTCATACACATTTAGGTTGTTTAGTGTTTCAGGTCCTTAGGTGTAGCACTCTCCCAGGTATGAGGACAAAACTTGCAGTTTTCCTAATGACAACTGATTTTCAGAATAGGCCATTCTTTTTGTTTATATTTTTTTTCCTGAACTTAAATATGCACCAAAATACACTGCCCATTGTTCTAGTTACATATGAGCTTGTGTCCCTCTGATGAAATGTTTTGGTTACATACATTTAGTTGATTTCCCCCATTATCCTATTTGTACCTCACTTCACACATACACACACACAAAAAAGCCATAATTCCTTCGAGGCTTACAAATAACAAGTTAGATCCTCAGCTTGTGGAAAGCGACTGAAGTCAGGATGGTTCTAAGTTGACCAAGTAAAAGAGAAAAAAAGATGACACATTACAGTAGAAGTGGTACAGAAGCAATCTAACATACCTTTCATTTAAACATATGCTTTTCTGTAGACAATCCTTAACATAAATTTGCATGTTCTTCATAAGTATTTTGTACATTTCATTTATTTTTCCTTTATTAAGGCATGGAAGGGAAGTTGCCTTCCAAAATTTATACTATTGTTAGGTCTATTTAAGTTTTGTACTGTGTGTTCCCTAATCGAGGACACTGAATTTCTATTCATGTTTTGTTCTGTTTTTATGTCCTTGCAGCTAAACTAAAACAACACTGAAAAAAGAGTAAGAGAGTTTACACAGTAGGCCTTAGCTGATAACATTTAAAGTGGTAGTTGATCACATCATAGCAGAAATATTCCAAAAATCTCAAAAATCAAAGGTGAGCTGAACACTATATGTATTTTAAATCTAAACTGTAAACCTGGTCTGCTGATATGACGACACTTGTTCTGATGTGTATAGTTTTTGAATGAAGTCTCAAGCTCAGTAAATCAGGCYCCAGAAAGTGAAAAACTTTTCTTAGAGGTCCATTTATATAGGAATTAGGCATGCCAAAATAAATGGAGCTTTGTTTTAGACTGTTCATCCCCTGAGCATCAGAAGTGAAAAGGTTAAGGCAATCTCATGTTTCTTTGTTTCTGACAGAGTGATTCCAGCGGCTATGAAGTCCATCTGCAGTAAAGGACTGAGCCACAGGCTGCATTTGTTGCTTTCTACATTGCTTAGATGTGCCACAAGAGCGATAATAAGATTATCTGAAAAAAACTGAACACTTGACCCTACGTTTGCATTGCTATRTTTTATATCCCAGAGAAGTGTTAATTATAGGGAGAGATCTAGTAGCCTTTTATAAAAGCTCAAGTATCAGTTGAAGATATTCCGTCTCTGAAAGCAACTTTTGCCCTTGGTTAAGGGTGCACAGTTGTACCACTGAAGAGAACAAGACATGCTCTTCAAGGAAATAATTTGGGCCCTATCAACTTATGTATGAAGTTGTCCTATCTTAATAAAACATTCTCCTACTGAATTAAAGGTGTGATTTAATGTCTAAATTCCATATTCCCTTTGCACGAAATCACCAGGTGTTGAGTCAAACTAATTACTATAAGTTTCCTTTTACAGTCTTTGAATTCAGAGTAAAATGTAGCTTTTTATAGTTTTAAAATTTCATCACTACTATTTGTGGTTAAAATCTTTGACACCCTCTTATTAGTGTTGCAAGGTTGAAGCCCTTCCCTCTTGCCAGGAGAACCCCTATCCTTCTTCTTCAGGACTATGGCTTTGAGCTTCCAAGTTGCTGCTGATTTGCTGCAATTACAGCAAAGGACAGAGCCCAAGTACTTGCATTCATCTACCTCACAGCAGTGGCAATAAGAAGAAACTGGACTGTCATTTCACAAAGCCCTGTATTATTCTGCTGTAAGGAGAAGGTTAAAACAATAACCAASTATATGGTATCAAGAACCACCAATATATGCTACATTTACCAGTTATCATCTGTCAGGTATCCCAATATACACAGAYACAAATTCAACTCACCTACATTCCAATTCGCACCTTCTTCAGAGTCATGAACTGGACAGGCTCTTTCCTACCCTTCCCTTGTTTGTTGGTCAGGTCTCTTGAACCTGATCCTTTTGAAAACAGTATCTGGCGTGTTAAAATCTGTCCTTCTAGTGCCAAGTTTGTTATGCTCTTCTGGATGTATATTAAGATCCTGGGAGTATATCCGAAAGAAACATGATTTGATTAAAAAAGGCAAAATTTGGTTTTCATTTCCTGGTCATGATTGTTTGAAATGCATGAGTTTTAAGCAGAAGCATGCATGAATGCAAGCCACAAATTAGAGCTGCTTCTGCAGCTAGAGCTTCAGTGAAACTGCTCACAAGGAGCGGGTGAGTTTTCATGATCATTTGACAAGTGCTGTCYGAAACTGATGCCACTAATGAAACTCAGAAGTCTGCATATAAACTTAGCACCATGACCTCCTTTCCCCTCCCCTTTCCTAGGTCAGATTCTTTAAAGACTAGAAAAATACAAAAACATCATTCAAGACACTTTTATGCTGCTCCTTTTAAATAAAGCAATGCAACCATCTTCTGAATTATTCACTTCAGAGGCTATTTTAGCACAAGACAGTAAGCAGTGGTTTACTAAAACAGTGGTGTGCTCTTTTGGCACAGATGCTCTGATAAAACAAGAGAAGCTTCTGTGATTCTAGAGCCTTCAAGGTTCAGTAAATTCTGTTAGCCCTGGTGGGTTACGTGCAGTAGAGAAAGGAACAGTGACTGGTCTACATATCTGCTCTTTCTCATGTCCTCATGAGACATGAGACCCAAAGAGTTTCTACGCAGATCTAGCACCATCTGCCTCCTGCTTAGATAGAAATAATTCAGACAAGTAGGTCTACGCATCTACCACAGACATTTATGTTGGATCAGAATCAGCTTTTAATTTCCTCATGCTAACAATTATTTTGCAGCGAGCGCACTTGTGCTCATAGTGCTGGTAGTCCGTCCTCCAAAGCCTTCTCACAGACATGTCCTCTCCATGAACATCTCCTCCCAAAAAGCATCAGAAAGTTGCTAAAGCATCTTTGCTTCTTGAAGTGCAACAAGCCTCATAAGTCCCAAGGATGCACAGGAAAGTGCAATATCTGCAGAGCAGACTTGATTCAATTTTGCAGTAAAGATGTGGTGCATGAAGCTGTCCACCTACCTTATAGCAAGATCTCTTTCTCCTCCCTTTACACTTTTCTCYTGTTTCCTGCTCTTATCAAGGCTGGGCCAGTGGGATTTTTAATCTTAAAAAAAAAGAAAATACCACAGTGAGTTCATGATAAGTTCACAATACCATATTTCACAAATGGACTTTCAGAGGTCAGAAGATTTCAGCTACTATAGAATGTGCATTGCTGGACTGAAAAGTTTACACTATGGGGAATAAGAGATTGACATCTGAAGAAAAAAGCATGTCTAACAAAGAAAAGTTGCTTCAGAGAGCAGACATTTAAAGGTAATATATTAATATTAAAAATATACACCGAGGGCTACCTTAGCTGTCTAGGTTTACAAACATACTCTACAGAGAGAGCCATTTCCCTGTGTATACCTCATTACATGGCATATGCTGTGCTCAACTCTATGAAGGCTTGCTTCCATCTCCATTGGCTCTCAAGTAAAGCAGYATTATACTCTTAAGAATGAATACAAGTTATCTAGTTCAGGGAGTCGCATAACTTAGAGAAACCTTCACACAGGTCTTTAGTCCTACATACCATCATTAGAGACACAAGCACCCAGGTTTCTGTGACTGATGCATTTGCTGCATGTCAGTACATTCCTTCAAAGGTCCACAATTCCAGTTTTGACACAGCTGGTATCTATCCACAGAGCTGCAGTATAACTGAAATCTGTCCATACAGGTTAAATGTTTAAAGGAAAAGTGGAAGGAATCTATTCATGCCAAAGACATGTTCTGTATTTAAATATTATGTTTACTGTTGATAATGAATGAGGCACACTATATTTTTATTACTACACACACAATAGGCTTTCTATCACTACCTTCATTTAATTTTGGCTTGCCTTAGTCCTAAAAAAAAAAAATACAGAATTCTGATTTAGTCCAGTAAGTGCACAAGTGCAGTAAAGAGCAGCACGAAGGCAAATAATAGTCTGCCAAAGCTATGCATGGGCAGCAACTTATTAGCAATCACTCACTACCATGAAGGTACAGCAGCTGGAGATGACTCACTTCCGCCAACCCTTATAATGGTTCTTTCTTCTTTCAATATTCATAGACTAGTGTCTGAAGAACAGAAAGATCTCAAAAACCAGTAGTGTCGCTCACTAATGCTTTTTTTTTCTGAAAAGAAATAAGGGTAAAGGAAGTATTTTTGAACACGATGACTTCAGTGCAACCCAAACTGAATACAGTGAACACCCTCACAAAAATACTAGTGCTTCTTGGAGCCAGATGGCAACATACTATTTGTAGCACTATCTTCTGAAAATTCATTACTTTGATTCTATGATGCAAATATTGACTTTCATCTGCTGTCTTTGTGGGCTAATCCCTCCTGTCATTTTTGTAATCCTCATTCCTGCACCTTGTAAAGTTGCATCCCATTTTCTGTGTAGTACCATGTATGTCAAATCAAGACACAATCTTGTTGGCAATTAGAGATCAGTTGGCCAATAGCATAACATAATCCAAATAGACTTTATTTCTTTACTCAAATACATCAATTCTTCTAAAGTCTGGTGAAAGGTCTTACCGTTACTCARAGTTTCTTAAGTAGCACTAGTTTCTCAGGTAACTGCAACAAAAAGAAAACATTGCATTTCAGCTACTGCCTGGTCAGCTGTTTCAAGTTTGAAGTCTTTCTGTTGTAAGTAARGAGAAACATAAAGGAAAACATGTTTTAGTATAAATTCTCTTGAAATGATCCCTATGCAGTTGCTTGAATTTTATATTGCCTTCAGAATTTCCATTCAACTTCATCTTATTTTGACTACTTTTTTCTCATAGTGTCAAGCCTATTTCCCTTAAATAAGGTCTTATTTCTGGTGCAGTTTGAAATTAACTAAAATGGAGAAATCTCATATACTCATAATGAAACTTAACCCACTCAAAGTAAATAGTCTGGTGAACAGGGTGAGCAGTAACTAGTCTGGTGAACAGGGGAATCCCTAGAATTTGGCTTCTTCGGGATTCCAATGCTTTTGAATTAGGGGGTGTCACCAGTGTCTTGCACACAAAGAATCCTTCACCTATGCTAATAACTATAAATGTTACAACTTTTAGACAGAAAACAGAGTTCTAAAACTTATTTCTATAATAATGAAATTGAAATAGGGATGCAGTGTACAGTGTGAAGCCTATTTAGGACCAGAAATTCTATTAAATTAGTGAAGAGGGTGAAAATATTGTGTTAATTCAATTCCAGCCCCAGAGAATGGGGAAGTGTTCCCTTCCTTTAAACTTCCTACACAAGTCTAGTATAGTGGGGCATTTCCACCCAATCTGATAACTCTCAGGAAAATGACTAGTGACACCATCTAACCAAGTTTGTCCAGCACCTGCTATACAGCTGCAGTTTATGTGATCCAAATGAACTGCTCTTACTCCAGAGAGGTTAGGCGCTGTGTCCRGCACAGAATTCAGAGTGTACATAATACAAGAGAGACACCTAAGCACAGTCTTAGGTTATTGACTATTAGGTATTTGTTGATTACTAGCTGTTCTGCACTAAAATGTTTTTACACCGTACCTTTTCAGCTGTTCCATGCTGTACTGTCCTCTATTCCACAATTTCATCATCCTCATTGTTGAGCTCCCTTCTCATCCGGAGTGAACATCTTGCCCTTTTGTTTAATCAAAAAAGTTTGCTGCTTCTGGGTATGGAATATGAAACTGTAGAGAACAGGAGAAGTGTAGAAATGTTGGGAATTTGCATACAACAAAAACATTGTCTAGCCAGTTTTTCAAATTTTTTTCAAATAGGTTTTGATAGTAGTAATGAAGGGGGTGGGAGATCTTTTCAGGTACTGCCCAGACCAGAGAGGCTGGGCTCCTGTGAGCTCAGTATGTGTGAAACCAGGGAGGCAGTTTAGTACTAAGACTAAGCCCCCTTTTCATCTCTTCCTCCTTTTTCCAAAGGAATATCACAACAAAACACAACAAATCTTCCACCTACATCATACCAGGATGTACTGATCTGACCAATTAAAACTCTGCTGTTTATATAGAACATAACACTATACAAACCCAGAACAGACAAGTAATTAATACAGGACTGTGATGAAAATACCTCACAGAACCATACCCTGTAAGGCAAAACTGAGTTACAAACCATGTTTCCATTACTTTTGTCATTAGAGATAAAGTTCCTTAAGAGCATCAGATATGTTTAGACATAATTGTGCTGTAAAGTTACTGCTGAATTTGCAGTAAATTGAAAGTTTGCCAAAGAACTTGGGTGATGTTTCCAATAATTTCATCTGTAAACTCCCTAATGTCACAGCAAATTCTTCCTGAAAGTAGAAAGCTACTATCCATACTATCCATCAGGCTGTCTTTTCAAAGTGTTGTAAAATATAAATAATTCTTAGACTCATCTTGGCAACTTGGGGAAAGCGAGGCCTATTACYTCAGCACCACTGCTCTCCTGAAAAGAACCCCGACAGCTCTGCTTTTATCTGCCCACAATTTGGATTCATGTTACTCCACTGTCAGACTAGAGTAATTCATGTATGGATTAATAAAAACTAGTAGAAACAAGGATCGAGAGTCTCAAGTTACTGCACTGAGAGGATAAGCTTCTGCTTTATTACTAAAATGCTTACACAAACATTTCCAACTTGCTCATGCAAATGTCAAAAGCAATTCATACGTATTTTCTCAAACGAGTGATACCAAATGTTTCGCTAAGTATCACTGGCTTGATTTTTCTTTGAATTAGTACCAGTCATATACAAACGGCTGCTGCAAAGTCATGGCACACACGGTCTCGACATAAATAGTCAAGTTTTTATTTTAATTTGGTTATTTGTTTTAAGTTAAGTTGATTATTAAAACCAATGAAATAACTTAGAGCTGCTCTAGAATGAGATGTGCCTAGGAGACATTCAGRCAAGAGAGCCTAGGCAGCTAATCCCAGCAAGGCTCAGGTTTTCACATTTGGCTCTCTGAATTTGCCAGCCCAGGAGAATACCAGAACTCCCAGGCATGCCTTTTCAGCCAAAGGGAATTGTCTTTCAGTAGTAGCCAGCCTGTTTGTGATACTTCACTTTGTTAACAGTGAGCCCACATTTAAATTATAAAGTTATTTCACAATTCAAAGCTTAGAGCCTAGAGCTAGTTTCTGTGCTACAGAAAGCTACACTGTGATTTTCATGAAGAATAATACCTGTATTGTTGACAGAGCAGCACTAGAGACAGCTCTGTTCCCTACCACCTGCAGGCTTTGAAAATTAGAACAAGTATATGCTTAATCATTTACCAGGGAAATGGAACAGCTACAGTAACAACAAAAAGAGGTTTTATTAGATTAAAATGATTCTACAAATAACACAATATGCTACAGGAATGTCAAACATCAGGTTTTTTTTTTGCCTAAGCTCTCCACAAGTAGTCACCTCCCCCAAAACCCTTCATTTGTTAGCAGAGACCTTCTTGTGTCCTAGCTCCTCACAGGCAGGTTGGAGCATTCAGTGAATGCAAGCTGAATGCAAGTGGAAGCTTGGTTTTCAGAAAACACAGATGAATTTTGATTAAAGAAACATGCTCAATTATAGCAGTATTTGTACAGGGCAGTRGTAGGTATGAAAGTGATTGCTAACTCTTTGCCTTTGATTTAGTAAAGTGGGTTGATTTGGTCAAGCAGCAGAGTGCATGAGACCACTAGACATGTGCCATTCACTGCTCGGCTCTCCAGCTGGGCTCCTTCACTCCCTGATTGGAAGCACTTCCACTGAAGGCACATTTTACTCCCTTCCATAATAAAAGCCGCCTCAATGCTGACTAAAAACATAAAGAGCAAAATTACAGTGGCTGCAATTTTCTTCTAGAGGGTTTTTGAGGTAGGTGAACTTCAGAGTAGCACCTAAAGGAACTTGTGAAGATTCCTGTAACTGCTGAGCAAACCAAGTAGAACAAATAAGTATTTCTCAATATCTAATCTGTTTGCATGCTTATAATTTCAGTTATTGATTAGAAGAAAAATAAGATTGTTGCAAATTCAAGTTAAGCAAAGGCACAAATACCCCCAATATGCATCATATTCTGAAATAAGAACCCGAATGCCAGTTTCATCTTAATAATAGAAGTTGCCATAATTGAACTGGTAATGACATAACAATCTCAAGGATTTCATTTAATCTGTGTTTTAAAAACAACACTTTCTTAGSACATTCACACCCTTCTGGAACATTTGTACAGTAATTGTCTAAGACATTGCAGATGAGTGCAACACCTAGTCAAGAACTTCATGTCACAGCTACAAGACACTACTGGGGACAGCAATTTATTTTTATTAATGGTACTATTTTAGATTTGAGGGCTGTTCTTCGCATCTTGATTCTCTACTGACTATGCCTGTCAAGCAGCAATTAACCACCTACCACATTTGCCTATATGATACACTTATAGCCGCTTGCAAGAGTGATTCAGACAAGTACTAAAATGACGTTTTTGAAACATTTTGGGTAGTTTTGCTCATTACAGTCAATCACTTTTGCTTTTTGCCCTTCCTTTTCCCGCCTCAGGTGGGAGATGCTGACCCACACAGACTAACTGGTTTGGCCCTCTTCTCATCCCTYACTAGACAAATAACACTGCTCAACTGCGCCAAACAGCTTGAGTTGCATATGGAAATGGTGCCATAACAAGGCTGGCTAAACCTTAGTTCCTTCTGTTCCTGTGCAGCTGTGCCAGGTCATGAGTGTCCTACCTGCAGCTGTCCCAGGACGGCTGCTGGGATGGCCCCCTCTAGGCAGGGCATTCTGTGGACACAACTGTGTAGCACAAGATGGTCTGATCTGGGTTTTGAGCATTTGCACTTCCTCTTAGAAACGCCAGCGATCAATGATATATTGATCGGTTTCTTTGGAAGACAACATTAAAGRGGAAAATCTAAACATGAATTTGTCTCGCCCATGTTTAGATGTCACTCAATATTACAGCRGGCAGCTTCCCTCTTAATTCCAAGAACTTCCAGAATAAAACTCAGTTCACAGTCTCTAACCAAAGCCCAGGTTTCCACCAGCCCTTCAAACCAGGACGAGCAGTGGCCATGTTCTCACACCTCCTTGTAGCAGCACCGAACCAGCAAAATTCAAGCAACTCTCAAGTCTGTTCCCCTCATTTGGGCTGTTGTGACCAGATTAGTCATAGTCTTCCCAGGAGAGTGGGCTGTAACTGCTCTTGCTCATTTCCTTGACACACAAAGTCAGCTTCGAGGAACCCAAGAGAAAGGCTGTCTCACCTTGCTGTCTTGCTCACCTTGCTCTCCCCAAGCACACGTATGTGGATAGCAGCAAGGACTCCCGTCCTCGTGCACAGCATGATCACACAAAAATAACCTGTTATCTCTGTTAGAGACAGACTGTCATTCTCATCTTTGCACAGGCCTTTGCAACAAATATCTAATTCTAACAGGGAGAACAAAAAACCCACATTTTCCCAGCCAAAGAAATAAAAAAAAAAAAAAGGAAAAAGCTAGCAAGATTTACATATAGTATGACAGATGCAGGCAAGAGCAGAGATGATCACGAAGGCTTTTTTCCCCCCTTTGCTGAATAAAAGCCTCTGTACCTGGTCTCAAGTGG